AGGAACTGTAATATTGACTTATGATAAAGATGCTATCCCGCAAATTTGAATTGAGTATTGAAAAGTCAATTTAAGTTATAAATAATTGTGTTTAACAATTTCAGTTTCTTTCCTTTTTTTTTTTTTTTTCCTTTGAGACAGGGTCTTGCTCTGTCACCTAGGCCTTAACTTGCCCAGGCTCAAGAGATCCTCCTGCCTTAGCCTCCTGATTAGCTGGGCCTACAGGCTCTCACCACCAAACCCAGCTAATTTTTTTTTTTTTTTTTTGTAGAGATGAGGTTTTCCCACGTTGCCCAGGCTGCTCTTTAACTCGGCTCAAGCGATCCTCCCACTTCAGCGTCCCAAAGTCTGGGATCACAGGCATAAGCCACCGCACCAAGCCAATGCCTTCAAATCTTTAGAATGTTGATCACTTCTTTGCCAAGTTAGAGTTTTAATTGTGCTATGATGAATAACATTTAAAGTCAGGAAGTCTATACTGCAGAGCTTTAAGATTTGCTGATATTTGTGTGCATACAGGTTTTGTATCCTAGCTGGGATTTCAGGTTTTCTCTAAAACAAGAATGAGGCAGGGTTTCTAGTACTTCTATTTCTCCATTACAAATCTACACACAGGAGAGCCAAACAAATGTTAACTGACAGACAAAAGTTTTAGCAGGTTTTCTTCCCGATTTTTTTTCTAGAAAAGATTAACTCAGTTTTCAAGGTTCATTTGGTTAAGTTTCACTCCAAAGTGTGAGAAGTTAGGCAATAAACGAATTTTGTCCTTAAAGGGATTATCATAAAGGATACATTTCCTATCAATTTTTCCATAACGGAATCAATAGTAACTCTTGTTCTATTAGTCTCATAAGACCTAAGAACAGTACTACCTTATTAAACTTTACGCACTGAACTCCTACTCTCTAAATCACATAGATAATATTTAATGGTCATCTATCTAGTCAGAAAAATAAAAATAAATATTACCGGAAATGTTAAAAAAAAAAAATGGAAAGGAGGCTGGGTGCAGTGGCTCATGCGTGTAATTCCATCACTTTGGGAGGCTGAGGTGGGTGGATCACTGGAGGTCAGGAGTTCAAGACCAGTTGGCCAAGATGGAGAAACCCAGTCTCTATTAAAAATACAAAAGTTAGCTGGGCATGGTAACAACTGTCTGTAATCCCAGCTACTTAGGAGGCTGAGGCAGGAGAATCACTTGAACCTGGGAGGTGGAGGTTGTAGTGGTGAGCCAAGATTGCACCACTGTACTCCAGCCTGGACAAGAGTGAGGCTGTGACACACACACACACACACACACACACACACACACACACAGAGGAAATGAGGGGGAAAGTTTGGAAAGTCCCAGAAATCTATATTCTCTGTGACTATTAATTTTAGTCAATCAAGATTTATCATGCAAAGTACTGATCAGTGATTCAACTAGAGCATCCAAAATCATTTACTTAGTCTATAAAATTAAAATGATTTGTTTTAATTTGGAATACAACCAAAGACCACTATAAGAAAGTTAAACAATCAGATTTTTGTGATAGAAGTGTATTGGGGACTGGCACAGTGGCTCAGGCCTGTAATCCCAGCACTTTAGGAGGCCGAGGGGGGCAGATGACAAGGTCAGGAGTTTAAGATCAGCCTGGCTAATATGGTGAAACCCCATCTCTACTAAAAATAAAAATAAATTAGCCAGGCAAGGTGGTGGGCACCTGTAATCCCAACTACTAGGGAGGAGGAGGCAGGAGAATCACTTGAACCCGGGAGGCAGAGGTTGTAGTGAGCCAAGCCCCAGCGTGGGCAACAGAACAAGACTCGGTCTCCAAAAAAAAAAAAAAAAAAAGGTAGTGGGGAAAGATGTAATTAAAGTTGGGTTAAATCAAAACAATTTTTCAGAAATGAGTTGACAAGCAACTGTTTGTTTTTCTGACTGCAACTGGAAAGCCTGACAGAAATAGGTTAAGTGTCACCATCCCCTCATTGATCTATCAAGTCAACAAGCTTCTCTTTTACTGTGTAGTTGCCTAAAGCCTCAAGCACAGCAATTAATCATATCCTACTGTAAATTACTTTAATTAGATAATAGAGTCCTTCCTTCTAATACCTAATGAAATCATAGAGTGGGTGAGGGAAAGGTGATTTTTTATTTTATTTTATTTTATTTCACAGGGTCTCCCGCTGCTACCCATACCGGAGTGCAGTGGCCCAATCTCTGCTCATTGCAACCTCCACCTTCTGGACTCAAGTGATCCTCCCACCTTAGTCTCCCAAGTAGCTGGGATTACAGGCATGCACCACCACCACACCCAGCTAATTACGGTATTTTTTGTAAAGACAGGATTTCACCATGTTGCCCAAGCTGGTCTCCAACTCCTGAGCTCAAGCAATCCACCCACCTCAGGCTCCCAAAGTGCTGGGATTACAGGCGTGAGCTACTATGCCCCACCAGGTGAGTTATTTTGAGAGCATTTTTTTTTTTTTTTGAGATGGCGTTTCCCTCTTCTCCTCATCTCCATTCACTGCAACCTCCACCTCCCAGGTTCAAACAATTTTCATGCCTCAGCCTCCTGAGTAGCTGGGATTACAGGTGCGTGCAACCATGCCCAGCTAATTTTTGTATTTTTCGTAGAGACGGGGTTTCACCATGTTAGCCAGGCTGGTCTCGACCTCCTGACCTCAGGTGATCCACCTGCCTCGGCCTCCCAAAGTGTTGGGATTACAGGCCCCGCGCCCAGCTGAGAGCATTTTTTAAAAGCGTGAAGTGCCACAGTTGGCAGTTCTCATCCGCCAGAGGAGAGAATGAGAGTACTAAACATGGGGAAGAGGCTTGGTGAGGTGGGTGATGAGCAGGTGAAAGATTTGTAAAAAAGAAAAGGAGGGATTGAGAAGGGTAATCTTTTACTTTGAAATTCTACCTGGGCCACTTAGGAGACGGTCTCCCATTGAAAGTCACCTTAGTGACTCGACTAGATTAGCACCAGAATAACAACATGGGATCCTTGAAAGGCTCTACCTCAGCTGTACTGTGGCAGACAAGATAAAGGCCAAAGTCTTTAAAAACGGAATGATCTCTAAACACTCTGCACCAGTTATACCACCACTGTCCCTTTCAACAGTCTGTGCCTTTAAGGCTGTTCATTCTGTCTAGTTCGTTATCCCTTTCTCAGACCGATCAACTCTGACTATCCTTGAAGACCTACAAGAAATTAGTGAGGCCGGGCGCAGCAGCTCATGCCTGTAATCCCAGCACTTAGGGAGGCTGAGGAAGGCAGATCACAAGGTCAGGAGATCGAGACCACCCTGGCTAACACCGTGAAACCCTGTCTCTACTAAAACTACAAAAAAATCAGCCGTGCATGGTGGCGCGCACCTGTAGTCCCAGATACTTGGGAGGCTGAGGTAGGAGAATCGCTTGAACCCGGGAGGTGAAGGTTGCAGTGTGCCGAGATCGTGCCACTACACTCCAGCCTGGGCGACAGAGCAAATTCCTCTGTCTCATAAAAAAAAAAAAAGAAAGAAAGAAAGAAATTAGTGAGAAACAGTCACCATCATGATAGTCAGCACAGGTCAACTTTTCTTTACAGGTTTGGAGTTTCTAAAGGCGGTCTTGATGTGGAGAAGCTGGATAGCAACCAAAATGATTGAAGGGCTGCGGCACTGGCATTAGCAAGAACGAAAAGAATTAGGGTTACTGGACGTGGTGAAAAAGACATTATGAGGAGAAGTGACAGGCAAGTAATAATCAAACACCATGTATCTGAGAGTAGGGAAGGTAGCTAACGTTCCCTTGCTTTTACTAGAGATCAAGAAATGGACTATACATAGCAAGAAGCTTCAGAAAAGATTTATGAAGGTTCCAAGACACTGGAGTTGACTAAGGGAGTCTGTGAACCCTATTATTATAATTACTTACTTCATGGAGTTGTCTTAAGAATTACATATATAAAAATCTGCATAAATGACCTAGTATAGTGCCTGGTTCACAAACAAATGATGGTTATTATTATTCTCTTACTAAGCATTCTTTAAAGGCTGTCGGAAAACTTTTGGGGCCACCTAGGCAATCGTAGTGTAATCAAATAATGCTAAAATTCGTGTGTGTGTGTGGGGGGGGGTGTGACAGAGAGAGAGAGAGAGAGGGAGGGAGGGAGAGAGAGATGGGGGAAGGGAGAGGTGGGGAGGGAGACAGACGCTCACTCTGTCGCCCAGGCTGGAGCAAAGCGGTGCGATTATGTTTCACTGCAGCATCGACTTCCCGGGCTCAGCCTCCCAAGTAGCTGGAACTAAAGGCGCACGCCACTACCCTCGGCTATTTTTTCTATTTTTTGTAGCGACACGGTCTCGCTATGTTGCATGCTGGGATGCTGAAATTCTTTCCTTTCCAAGAATCCATCTACAATTATAGCCTCCACGTCATTCTCCCTATTGGAATGTTTAATTGACTAAAACCACATTGCCTCAATCTGCTTACTAAGCGGTGGATCTAGTAAAGACCACATCTTGTCCAAAAGACGGCAGGGTTCAATTAGCACTCAAATGGCACTTGAAGGTTTGGGCGCAGGGGTGTTCACATGCAGCCACTTTACTTTCCGAAGGCACACTGGGATAGACGTTCGGCCAAGTATTGATACTCAGGGAGAACAAGAGCGCCTGACCAGGTAAAGACGGCTTCAGCTGCCCACGCTACAGAAAAAGGTGAGGGAGCGAGAAAGTGGCTAGCAAGGAAAAAGTTTCATGCGTTGACCTGGGGGTCTGAAGCAAGCACCTAGCACAGAGAAACGTCACAGGAAAGAGGGCCCAAGAGAGCAGACGCGGAGCCACCAGACCAGAAAGAGAAAAACGCACTAGAAAACAGCACCGACGCCACCGGCGCCAGCCTCATACCTGCGCTTCCCGCTCCCCTCCTCAGCGCCCAGTGATGACCTCACCTGCCGGCGCCCAATCCCGTCGAGCGTAGAGCGTGAGGCGGTGCAGCCAAACAGTCACATCCGGGGCTGAGAGGAACCGCGAACGAGCTGGGCGTGCGCCCTTGCTTCGTGCCCTCAGCCCGCATGGCGGAGCCGCGGGCGCGTCGTGGAAAGGCCGGGCTGGTCGGGCGGTTTCGGCGCCCGCGCTGAGCCGCGGGGGAGGGGCGGAGGACGCCCGTGCAGCCGGTGCGTTTGCCCTCAGTGAGGCGGGGCGCGCGGCGGACGCCCCCGGGCAGGGGCGGGAGTGGTGAAGGCGCCGGCGGTTGGCACTGAAAGGGGCGGTGAGCGAGCCGCTCCGGTCTCCAGGAGAGGCTTGGCCTTCTGAGCAGAGACGGCGGGAAGCGGCGGCGGCGGCGGCGGCCCTCGGGCCGGCTAGTGAGGCGATGGCGGCGCCGGCCCCGGGGGCTGGGGCAGCCTCGGGCGGCGCTGGCTGTAGCGGCGGCAGCGGCAGCGGCGCGGGCGCGGGCGCCGGCTCGGGCTCGGGGGTCGGGGGCCGGCTGCCCAGCCGGGTGCTGGAGTTGGTGTTCTCTTACCTGGAGCTGTCCGAGCTGCGGAGCTGCGCCCTGGTGTGCAAGCACTGGTACCGCTGCCTGCACGGCGATGAGAACAGCGAGGTGTGGCGGAGCCTGTGCGCCCGCAGCCTGGCAGAAGAGGCTCTGCGCACGGACATTCTCTGCAACCTGCCCAGCTACAAGGCCAAGGTGAGAGAGCCCCGGGCCACACCGCTGCCCCCAGTTCCGCTCCTCGGCGCCGTTCTCGGTGTTTTTCATCTAAGATTCTGAGTCAGACGCCTCGCCTCACCAGCCCGCCTTTCCACGGGTCCGGTCAATACCTTTCTCACCATCCCCCGACAGAAAGATTCTCTTTTCTTTGGATCGAAGTTCTGCTGCTTAACCCACCCCACTTCCGTGATCCACTTTTCAAATTTCTAGGTAGTTTCCATCGCTCATTCAACTTTTGACAGTTTTCCCGGTTAAAGGCAGACCACCACTCTTGTACGTTTTAATGCCCTCATCCTAATTTCTCCCTGGCCTCCAAACAGACTTCATTCTATTAAATAATGAGGTAATAAGCCCGTGTTAAGGTAGCATGGCTTAGTATCCTTGACATGGTCTTAGTTTCTAGTTGGCTTTCACTCCACATTTATCTCTTTTCCAACCTCTAATTTTTAATCATTTTTTCATTGTTTTCTCCAAGTTCTCTTTATTCCCTCCACTATATTTGAGGCTTACAAGTGAGTTGTACTCCTAGTAATCCTGCTAACTTACAAGATACCGGCTTTTATAAACATCCGTGGATACTATTAACATAATGCTTTGTCCTACTATTATTGGCTATTTCCTTGCTGACTTTTTAATAGTACCACAGTGATGGTGTGTGTCTCTTCTGTTTGTCATCTAACATGCTGGTTACAGTTTTGCTGCGTCCTTTCCCCACCCCCCGACCCCCAGATTCTTGTTCATATTCCTCCCGCCTTCATATACAAAATAAAAATGTCAAGGAACAGGTTGTGGTAGGGCTGAAAGGATTCTCGTGCCATATAAACAAAGGGTCTTGGTTTTGGGTTCAGTTGATTGGTTAACAGGTATTCAGTATAGCATTCAACCAAGATTATATATAAGAGAAGAAAAAGTCTGATTGCAATGTAGTAAACATAATAAATACATTAGTAACTAAAACAAAGGATAACATCTTTTTTTTTTTTTTTTTTTTTTTTTTTTTTTTTTTGAGACGGTGTTTTGCTGCTGTTGCCCAGGCTGGAGTGCATTGGCACGATCTTGGCTTACTGCAACCTCCGCCTCTCAGGTTCAAGTGATTCTCCTGCCTCAGCCTCCCTAGTAGCTGGGATTACAGGCATGTGCTACCACACCTGGCTAATTTTGTATTTTTAGTAGAGATAGAGTTTCTCCTTGTTGGTCATGCTGGTCTCGAACTCCCGACCTCTGATGATCTGCCCACCTTGGCCTCCCAACGGGTTGGGATTACAGGTGTGAGCCACTGCTCTGGGCCAACATCGCTTTTTAATACTAGCTTGCCAACAGGAGTCAGAGTAAGAAGTAAAAAATTTTTTTTCATGTGAAGCATGTTATAGTAACACCAGTTTTAGTTATAGAAGATAAGGAACATTGCCAACTATAAAGTTTTTCTATTAAGCAAGATAATTTATTAGGACTATTTGCACATGGTAGGTATTCAGTGGATACTGGTTTTAATTTATATAGGTGAGTGCAGAAGATTGGAATTTTGTCCTACTTTGAGAAGTGTGTAGGTTTTGTTTAGATTTTATTTTTCCATAAAGCTTTGTTTTTACTTGTTTTAAACTAGGAGTTTTTGTTGTTGTTTTTAAAACAGGTTCTCTCACTCTGTCGCCCAGGCTGGAGTGTAGTGAGTGGCACAATCATAGCTTACTGCAGCCTCAACCTCCTGAGCCCAAGTGATCCTCGTTAGCTTATCCTCCTGAGTAGCTGGAACTACAGGCACGTGCCACCACACCAGCTAAGTGTTTATTTTTTACAGATAAGGGGTTGCCCGGGCTGGTCTCAAACTCCTGGGCTCAAGCGATCTTCCCGCCTCAGCCTCCCAAAGTGCTGGGGTTACAGGCAGGAGCCGCTGCACTCAGTCTAAACTAGGAGTTGTTGTTGTTTTGGTAATTGACTTATAATAGAAATGTTCACATGATTCAAGATTTATGTTATGTAATAGATCATGTGTCCATGTGAGTCAAGCTTCGATAGAAGCAAAATGCTATCCAGCAAAATGTTTTCCATTCATCCTTGTCTCCCAGCTACCCAGTTCCTCTCCATGTATGCAGTCTGTCTTACTATTTCTTTTGTATCCTAACAGAGATATTTTAGGTTTCTGAAGTTTTTAATACTTGGCCTTTCTGCTATGTGCATCATAGGCGTTATAGACTTGTACTAATCACATGTTCATTCAGACATTGTAGGACTTTTCTTGAATATTTTGAGGGTAAAAGATTAATTCAAAAGGAGTCAAATAGGCGAAGTAGGAAAGTCTTCAATCTAGTAGGGGAGGGCCGGGCGCGGTGGCTCAAACCTGTATTCCCAGCACTTTGGGAGGCCGAGGCGGGTGGATCACGAGGTCAAGAGATCGAGACCATTCTAGTCAACACGGTGAAACCCCGTCTCTACTAAAAATACAAAAAATTAGCTGGGCATGGTGGCGCGTGCCTGTAATCCCAGCTACTCAGGAGGCTGAGGCTGGAGAATTGCCTGAATCCAGGAGGCGTAGGTTGCGGTGAGCCGAGATCGTGCCATTGCACTCCAGCATGGGTAACAAGAGTGAAACTCCATCTCAAAAAAAAAAAAAAAAAAATCTAGTAGAGGAGAAAAAATGTATGGAAATAACTGTTAATGTGTGGTAGAAATTGCTCCTTACCGTTACAGACATTTTTTAAAAGTATACTTACTAGAAGTTGGCTGGGTGCAGTGGCTCATGCCTGTAATCCCAGCACTTTGGGAGGCCAAGGTGGGCAGATCACGAGGTCAAGAGTTCAAGACCAGCCTGGCCAACATAGTGAAACCCCAGTCTCTACTAAAAATACAAAAAGTAACTGAGTTTGGTGACATGCGCCTGTAGTCCCAGCTACTTGGGAGGCTGAGGCATGATAATCACTTGAACCCAGGAGGCGGAGATTGCAGTGAGCCGAGACGATGCCATAGCACTCCAGCCTGGGTCACAGAGTGAGAGAGACTCCCTCTCGAAAAAAAAAAAAAAAGTATACTAGAAGTTCAGTGAAAGGAGAAATTTACAAATTGAATGGAGACTTGGAGAAGATGTAAGGTTGAGGTTATATTTGAGCTGAATTTTAAAGATGAGGAGGAGTTGAATATTTTAGGAAGAGGAAGTACTCTGCACAGAAGCAAGACAAGAGGAAAGTAAAGGGTTTGTACAACATACATTTTTATTTTAAAACAATGAGTGCCAGGCACTACGCTCAGTTTTGCAGATGCAACGGCAAATAAAACAGACACAGTCTCCTTTTATGAGACAGATTTTCTCTCTGTCACCCAGACTGGAGTGCAGTGGTGCGATCTCGGCTTACTGCAACCTCTGCTCCCGGATTCAAGTGATTCTCCTGCCTCAGCCACCTGAGTAGGCTAGTCTCAAACTCCTGACCTCAGATGATCCCCCCACTTCAGCCTCCCAAAGTGTTGGGATTACAGGTGTGAGCCACTGCACCTGGCAGACACAGACTCTTATGGATGCCTTGCCTTATGGAGCTTACAGTCTAGTGGGTAAATGGATTTTTATTTTTTTGAGATGTCCCACCTGGGCCTCACAAAGTGCTGGATTACAAGCGTGAGCCACCACGCATGGCCAAGAAATGGATATTAATCAAATAATCACACAGATGTAAAGCCACGTCTGGTAAGTAGTATGAGGGAAAGATACCTAGTTCTCTGATTGTCGGTAGTGGAGGATTTGATCTAGGTAGAGAGATCAGGGAAGGCCTTCTCAGAGGAAGTGATCTGTGTACTGAGACATGAAGGATGATAAATAGGCCAAGGGGAGAGAGAACGGCCTTCCAGGAGGGAACCTGATGAGTATGAGGGACAGAAAATACGTCAGTGTGGCTGGAGCACAGAGAGCAAAAGTGATGCTGGTTTAAGATAAGATGGAAGAAGTGGGCTGGGGCCAAAACATAGGGAAGCCATTTTGAGTTGTAAGCAAGAAGGTGTGGGGATTGGTTATATGATTATTTTGCATTTTAAGAGATTATTTCTGACTTTAGTATGGAGAACAGCTTGGAAAGGGACCTTAGAAGTATGGTAAATCCATTAGGAAATAGGTAGTGGAAGAGATAGAAATGGGCAGATTTAGTAAGTAAAATCTACAGAATTTGGCAATAGATTTGAAATAGGGATGAGGAACAGGGAAGTGGTAAGGATGACTTTTTAGTATTTGGTTCACATAATGCAGAGATCATTTGATCTAGATTTTTTTCCGTTTTTTTTTTTTTTTTTTTTTTTTTTTTTTGAAGACGAGGTCTTGTTCTGTTGCCCTAGCTGGAGTGCAGTGGACTGATAATAGCTCACTGTGGCCTTGAATTCCTAGGCTCAAGCAATCCTCCCACTTCAGCCTCCTGTGTAGCTGGAACTATAAGCATGTGGCACCATGCCCAGCTGATTTTAAATTTTTTTTATAGAGATGTGGTCTCACTGTGTTGCCCAGGCTAATAGGCTAGGGTTTGAAGGAATGGCAATGAGTTCAGTTTTGGGAGAGTAGCATTTGCAGTATTTTTGAGACAGAGATTTCAAATAGGCAGCTATTGCAGGTTGGAGCTTAGAGGAGAGATCCGGGCTAAAGATATAAAATATTATAGTTAGATTGAATGAAAGGAAATAGTGGGAAATATTGTAAAGATATATCATGGGACTAGATATATCATGGAGGGCCTTGAAATATAGCCTTCCAACTATAGTTTGGGTTTTGTTCTACAGTTGGAAACCATAGAAATTTGAATAGGAGAGGGACAAAATTAAGGCTGTACTTTAAAAATACTAGACTAGATTATTTGGAGAGGGCAAGGGTTAGTGCCTATTCCAGAGATACTTAGGACCTGAACAGGTATGTAGAGGAGAGAAGGGGATGACTGGAGAGCTGTTGTAGAAAACAGCATACATAGATAGACAGGTGACTGGGTGAATGAGATGAGGAAGATGGAGGCATCAAATGGAACTTTCCAGAAGGCTGGGTAACAGAGAGGGACAGGGGGCAGGTTTAGGACAGCATAAAACAGGAAAGTGGAGTTTGTTAATCTGTTTAGTGTTTTTCTTAGGTTCATGTTTTACATGTCACCACATAGCATTAATTATTTCAGTCATACTTGGCATCTGATGAGAATTCTCTAAAGTTCAGACTTAAATTTTAAGCTAGGTCTTAATGCTGTTTGCTATAACAAAATCCAGGTTGTGCCTGGGACTGTGAGGCTATGGATTGTTTTTATTTATTAATTTGGTCTTTATTTTCGTTTTTTTTAGGCAGTCTCGCTCTGTGACCCAGGCCGGAGTGCAGTGGCGCAATCTCAGCTCACTGTAATTCCGCCTCCAAGGTTCAAGCGATTCTTTCGCCTCAGCCTCCAAGTAGTTGGGACTACAGGCATGCACTACTACTCCTGGCTAATTTTTGTAATTTTTAGTAGAGACAGGGTTTCACCATATTGGCCAGGCTGGTCTTGAATTCCTGACCTCGTGATCCACCTGCCTCAGCCTCCCAAAGTGCTGGGATTACAGGCATGAGCCACTGCGTCCTGCCCCCATTTCTTTCTTTTGAGACTTGAGTCTCACTCTGTCTCAGGCTGGAGTGCAGTGATGATCTCGGCTCACTACAACCTCCGCCTCCTGGCTTCAAGTAATACTCCTGCCTCAGCCTCCTGAGTAGCTGGGACTACATGCATGCACCATCATACCCAGCTAATTTTTGTATTTTTAGTAGAGGCGGGATTTCACCATGTTGGCCTTGATGGTTTTGATATGACCTCGTGATCCGCCTGCCTTGGCCTCCAAAAGTGCTGGGGTTATAGGCATGAGCCACCGCACATGGCCTGTTTTCCCATTTTATATGAAGTTTCCAGTATCTTTTTCTGTTTCTCAAAAATAAAGACACTTAACATAATCACAATATTGTTATCACATCTAAAAATAAATTTACATAAAATTCCTTAATATCAGAAATGCAGCATTCAGATTGCCACTTGTCTCATAAATGTTAAATGTTCATTTTAAACTTACATTTTCTATAATCAAGATCTGTTTAAGGTTCCCATGACCAAGGTTGATATGTAGGCTATTTTAGTCTACATATTCACTCACCATCTCCCCTACCTCCCGTCTTATATGTTTAGGAAACCAGGATGTTTACTCTCGCCTGGATTTTGCTGATTTCATTCCCATGGTGTTGCTGGACATGTTCTTCTGTCCTCTATTTCCTATAGAGGTTTGATCAATTTAGATTAGATTTTTTTTTGCAAGTTATTTTTCACTAGAATCAATGATTAAAGATGTGTTAGAAAATAAGAGCTACTAAATAGTTATGTGGTACAGAAAGTGGTGGGTAGGCACTCAGGAGAGAGAGAAACAAAGGGAATTGGGTGACCCTGGCTGAGGATAGCTTAATAAAGGTGGTCTTAGAGGATATGTGGAAGAAGAAAGCACATATAATACCATAAGCAAGAAGAACAACATCAATGTAGAAAGAGAAATAGGAAGAATCAGATTTGGAGGGCTTCGAAAGCCAGACAGAAGAATTTACAATTGATAATGGTACTAAGTATAGAACTACCAAAGGTTGTAGAACTGGGATGAGATGTAGTAAAGGTGCTGTTTTAGAAAGACAGGTCTGGAAATAATTCAGATAGCTGAGAACTGAGTTTGGAGAATTTGGTGTGGGCAGAGGAAGGATGGTCACCAAAAAAAGAAAACGATAAGAGGATCAGTCCCGGGAAGATGTCCGAGAAACTTGAGGAAGAGAGGCTGGGTGTGGTGGCTCACACCTGTAATCTCAGCACTTGGGGAGGCTGAGGTGGGCAGATCACCTGAGGTCAAGAGTTTGAAACCAGCCTGGCCAACATGGTGAAACCCTCTCTCTACTAAAAATATAATAATTATCCAGGTGTAGTGGTCCACACTGTAATCCTAGCTACTTGGTAGGCTGAGACGGGAGAATTGCTTGAACTCGGGAGGCAGAGGTTGCAGTGAGCTGAGATTGAGCGACAGAGTGAGACTCCATCTCAAAAAAAATCGTTTGAGGAAGAGGTTGTCAATGTGAAATTGGAATTTATAAGAATTGGAGAATAGGCATAGGGAAATGTTAAATAATTTATAGTGAATTATTGATATTATTCTTTCGAGTTACTTAGACAGTATTTGCTATTTGGGGGACATTTTCCTTCCCCATTTAATCTTTTTTCTTTCTTTCTTTCTTTTTTTTTTTTTCGAGGCAGGGTCTTGCTCTGTCACCTAAGCTGCTGGAGTACAGTGGTATGATCTCAGCTCACTGCAACCTCTGCCTCCTGGGCTCAAGCACTCCTCCTACTTCATCCTCCCAGGTAGCTGGGATTACAAGTGTGCACCACCATGCCCAGCTAGTTTTTTGTATTTTTACTAGAGTTAGGATTTCGCCATGTTGCCAAGGCTGGTTTTGAACTCTGAGTTCAAGTGATCTGCCCACCTTGCTTTCCCGAAGTGCCGGGATTGCAGGGGTGAGCCACCGCACCCAGCCTCTGCATTGAATCTTATGTTTTGTTTTTATAAGTACACTTTATACGTATAAAGCAGATGGGAAAAAAATTGGGAATGCTTCTGTTTTATAGCCTCCTTTTAAATACATAGAATACCTGAAACAAATAGTTCTTTTCTTTTTTTTAATCTGTGCTCTGCAGTACAACAAAACAGTAAAGTACTGGTGAATGATATATGAACAGGTGATGAGAGAACTGGATACCTGACTTCTCTTTGGGCCTCTTGCACTGACTAGCAGTTAAAATCCCTGAGAAGGACTAGATGACCTTTAAGGCTCTTCCTAAATGCTGACATTCTGTGACTCTGGAATTGATTTCTCAGGTTAACTGAAGCAGTAGCTCCCAGCCTTCCACTGCTTTTGGGTAATTTGGCTACAGTAAAGAAGGGATTTTTTTAAAAACATACAAACCAGGCAGGCCTAGGGACTTCAACCTGTAACCCCAACTACTCAGGAGGCTGAGATGGGAGTATCACTTGAGCCCAGGAATTCAAGAGTGCAGTGCACTATGATTGTGCCACTGCACTCCAGTCTGGGTGACAGAGTGAGACCTCTAAAAAAAAGTTTTAAACATGCAGACTGAAAGTTTAAAATTGTTTATGAGAAATTATTATTTGTATAGAATTATTTTCATACCCTCTTTATTTCAGAAGCGTAAACCTTTGTATTTACTGAAGAGTCAACTAGCTTGTCTTACTGATAACTTCTCTTTATAAATTCTAGTAGTTGAACTTAGATGCTATCTAGGGGATTATTTGATTTGGTGAAATGAGATGGTTGCTTTTTTATTGTATGAGTCATATCCAGCAAGTAGGCTGAGGATCTAAAGTAGTTTGTGTTTACTAAAATTTTTCATAAACTTTAATGCTGCTATGATTCAAGTTTCTGTTTTATGTAAAATATAATTCTTATTGATGACAGCATTGCCCCTATGAAAACTGTACTTCTCAACTTTTTATAAAAATATCAAATATAAGCAAAAGTAGAGAAAATAGTTTCATGAATTTCCTTATACCCACCACCAAGCTTTACCAGTGATTAATTTATGGCCAGTCTAGTTTCATGTTTATATCACACACTCTCCAACTCCATCTCTGGATATTTAAAAGCAATTCCCAGATATCATTATTTTATTCATAAACAGTATTATCTCTAAGATACAAGAATTCTCTTTTTTTTTTTTTTTTGATGTTTTGAGAAATCTGAGGAAATACTGCAATTTTGGTCAGTGATGAAACGGTTGGCAGTTATTTTTAATGTTTTCCAATTTATTCTGTTAGTATACCATCCTGAAACTTTAGCCATTATTTTAAATACTTGTGTTATTTAAAAATATATAACTTGGTTATTTAAAAACATGTAGCCTGAAGTTTGGGTACATTTTAATATTTAAGAAAAATAAAATTTTCATTTCTTTGGTCTGTTTCTCATTTTTTTAGATACGTGCTTTCCAGCATGCCTTCAGCACTAATGACTGCTCCAGGAATGTCTACATTAAAAAGAATGGCTTTACTTTACATCGAAACCCCATCGCTCAGAGCACTGATGGTGCAAGGACCAAGATTGGTTTCAGTGAGGGCCGCCATGCATGGGAAGTATGGTGGGAGGGCCCTCTGGGCACTGTGGCAGTGATTGGAATCGCCACAAAACGGGCCCCAATGCAGTGCCAAGGTTATGTGGCATTGCTAGGCAGTGATGACCAGAGCTGGGGCTGGAATCTAGTGGACAATAATCTACTACATAATGGCGAAGTCAATGGCAGTTTTCCACAGTGCAACAATGCACCAAAATACCAGGTGAGAAACTGGGGGTTTTCTTAAGTATGGGCCTTTGTCAGATCATGCCTTAATCTGCTTTAAATTTGCAGATTTTTACATAGCAGTTTTGTTTGTCTTTTTGGTAACTTTTATTTTTATTGTTTATTTTTATTTTTCCAAATTCCCAAACTTCAAGGAGATTTTTTGACAATGTTTAAATAAATGTATAAATTATCTATCTCATTATTGTTTCCTAATACAACTTTAATCAGCCTCTCTTTGTTCCAGATCAGGGTTGGCAAACCTTGTCTGTAAAGGCCAGGTAGCAAATATTTTAGGCTTTGCAGTCCATATGGTCTCTGTCACAACTTTTTTTTTTTAATGTCATTTTCAAGGTAAGGATCTGTCTCAACTTTCAACTCTATTTATAGCACAAATGCAGTCATAGATAATATGTAAGTGAATGAACATGGCTGTATTCCATAGACCTTATTTATGGGCAGCAGGACAGCTGTAGTCTAGGGACCATAGTTTGCCAGTTCATACTCTATGTCATGCTTTGCACAGCCTGCATGGAGCCCACGATGGCTTTGAATTCGACCCAATGCAAATTCATAAATTTTCTTAAAACATTATGAGATTTTTTTTTTTTTTTTTGCTTTTTTTTTTTATTTTTTGAGACCAAGTCTCACTCTGTTGCCGAGACTGGAGTGCAATGGTGCAATCTTGGCTCACCACAGCCTCTACCTCCCAGGTTCAAGCAATTCTCCCTCAGCCTCCTGAGTAGCTGCAACTACAGGCATGTGCCACCATGCCCGGCTAATTTTTGTATTTTTAGTAGAGTCGGGGTTTCATTGTGTTGGCCAGGCTGGTGTCAAACTCCTGACCCCGTGATCCACCTGCCTCGGCCTCCCAAAGTGCTGGGATTACAGGCGTGAGCCACCATGCCCAGCTGAATTTTTTTTTTTTTTTTAAGCTCATCAGATATTTTTAGTGTGTATTTTATATGTGACCCAAAACAATTCTTCTTCCAGTGTAGCCCAGGGAAGCCAAAAAATTGAATACACCTGCTCTAGATGGCCATCTTTCCTATATCGTGGCACATCCAAGTCTTTTTCTAAGCTCCTTACCCCAATAAATACATCTCTATGTATGCACATGCACACATACCCGCTGTTTGTGGATTCAAAGCCGCTGGAGGCATCAGTGATTTCTGTAGAGACAGGCAAATTCAGGCAAACTGCTATATTTTATTCTTTTCATCTTAGGCTTAAGGCTTACTCATTTGATTCTAGAGTTAAAATCGTATTTCCTATTTGTAAAAGCCGTATTTATTACTATACACTCAGCAGGGTGTAATATACAATAATCTGATAAGAAATTGGAAGTCTTTAAAGAATTAGAGATTGCATGTTTCAGAGCCACTTGTAGCATGAAAGCTCCAGACTCAAGAAGAATAGAAAGAGAAATAAAAATAAATTTTAAAAAAAGAAGAAAAAAAAGAAAGCTCCAGCCTCAGTAATGGTCTCAAGTCAGGCATACTAAAGCAGAAGAACCAAAAATACATCCCATTTTCTGAGGTATAAAAGCTGGAAGGATTTTTTTTTTCATAGAATGTTTCCTCACTATCCTTTTAGGATCTTCAGATACTATAGTGAGAAGGGTGTCTAGACTTTATCACTAAAAAGAAAGTTCTGTAACTACCCTTGTAATGATTTTGTAAGTGAAAGTCCTTAAGTTTTTGTTTTTCAGAGAACATGCTCTATGGCTTCAGTCCTTTTACATTTATTAAGATTAGTTTTACTCCAATATGTGGTCTGTTTTGATGAGTGCCCCATGTGTGCCTGAAAAAAATGTATATTCTTTTGTTGAATGGAATATTCTGAAAATGAGAATTAGGTGAAGTCAATTGATAATGTTCAAGTCTTTATAGTGTTACTGATTTTTTGTCCTACCCCTTCTATCATTTACTGAGAAGCGTATTGAAATCTCCGTCTATGGTTGCTGATTTGTCTTTTTCTTCTTTTAGTTCTGTCACTGTTTGCTTCATGTATTTTGGAGCTCTGTTACTACTGGTGCATATACATTTCTAATTGTATCTCCCTGCCTGATTTATTTTTCTGTTATGAAATGACCTCTTTTGACTCTAGAAATACTGTCTTTATGTCCATTTTTTCTGATTTGAATTCAGCCACTTCAGCTTCCTTATGCTTACAGTTACAAAGTACCTTCTTCTTGTATCCTTTTATTTTTAATCTGTCTTTGTATTTAAAATGGATCTCCTATACAGAGACTATCTAATCCAGTCTCATTTTCTAACTTTTAAGTGTTTCAATCATTTACCTTTAATGTAATTAAGGTAAATGGACTGCTTGATATTGTCCTTATCTCTGTGCCTGTCAAGCTGTGTTCTTGTTTTCTTCCTAACCTTGTTTCTTTCTAATCTTTGAATTAGATAATTTTCTTTTCTTTTCTTTTTCTTTTTTTTCTTTTCTTTTCTTTTTTTTTTTTTTTTTTTTGAGATAGGGTTTCCCTGTGACACCCCAGCTGAAGTGGTGCAGTGGCGTGATGATCTTGGCTCACTGAAACCTCTGCCTCCTGGGCTCAAGCGATCCTCCTGCCTCACCTCCAGAGTAGCTGGGACTATAGGTGCTCCCCACCAGTGCCCGGCTAGTATTTGTATTTTTTGTAGAGACAGGTTTTCACCGTTTTGCCCAGGCTGGTCTCAAACTGCTGAGCTCAAGCAATCTGCCTGCCTTGGCCTTCCAAAGTGCTGGGATTACAGGCATGACCCCGTGCCCCACCTAAGTTAGATAATTTTTGTTGTTCTATCTTCAAGTTTACAGATTTTTTTCTTTTGCCATCTCAACTCTGCTGTTGAGCTGGGCTAGTAAATTTTGTTTATTGTACACTTCAGCTTTACAATTTTCATTTGGTTCTTTTTTATAGTAAATTTCCTTTTCTCTATTGAGTTTCCTTATTTATTTACTTATACTATATTTTTTAAAAATTATTTGGATATATTTATAATAGTTGCTTTGAAGTCTTTGCCAAATCCAACATTTAGGCCCACTTGGGTTCAGCTTCTATTGATTGCTCTTTTTCCCCCGAATATGAATCACACTTTCCTGTTTCTTTTCGTATCTAGTAATTTTTTTACTGAAACCTAGACATGTAGATAATATGTATTAGTAACTCCTGAATGTTTTGTTTCTAGAAACTGCTGTATTCTTCTGAAAAGTATAGGTTTTCTTGTTTTAGTAGGCAGTTAACTCAAACTATAAGCTCTGTCTCTTGTGATGTGTAGCAGCTAACATCTGCTCAGTTTTTTCAGCTTTGCTGCTTTTTCAGCATGGTTTTCTGGGGGATTTACCCTGTGTCTTTGTATTATAGTGGTCACTCAGGGATTTGGGCAGTTAATTCTCAAATTTTGGGGTTCATCCTTTCTGTGGTTCTGTTGCTTCTGGAGTTCCACCTCCAAGTTTCCAGTTGCTCTGCCATCTCCCAAGTTTTACCCTCTGGCACCTAAAGGTGGTAAGACTTCTGCTTTCTCCTCCCTGTGCTTTGGGCATGCTGTATGCTCAAAGGTGAAGCAAATTTGCAAATTTCACCAAGAGTAATTGTTGCTTAGTGTCAACTTCTGTAAAATAGGGATAATTCCTAGGATTGGTGTAAGGATTAAATGGGATAATACAAATAAAACACAAAACAAAGACTCAACAAAATTAGCTTTACATTTCTAGTTTGTTGTTAATATTTTGTTGGTAGGAGTAGTGGTGGTGGTGGTGATCTGGAGGTTTTTAGATCCATAAAATGGGGTGTGGGTTAGTCTGTAAGGTAGGAAAAGGGAGGAAAAAAGCAGATGTTGGCAGTTACTGTTAACAGAAATACAGTGAAGGAAAGTAAATGACAATAGCAGGGGTTATCCTAATCAGGAATAATTAAATTTTGATTGCAAACATAAGGACTTTCTGCTTCCAATTTTGTAGATGCAACATCCTTTTATAAATGTAAACTATAAAGATGAAGCATTCTTTTTTTTTTTTTTTTTGCTTGCTTTTTCAAATGGGAAAAAATGGTATATTGTGCTTCCAGTTTCGTTTAATAATCAGGTGTTTCGGAGTTGTGAACCACAAATTGACTATTTAATAAGCCTATTCTATATTCTACCTTAGACTTTAGAGCCAGATTTGATTATTCATGATTCTACATTATATGTGTAACTGCTTTGTAAAAACTTTAAAAGCTATGTTTCTTACTGTGATTTTTAAAATTGTGATGAAACATACATTTTATTATTTTAACCATTTATAAGTATGCCATTTGGTGGCATTATATACATTCACAATGTTGTGTAACCATCACCTCTCTATACCCAAAACTTTTTCCTCACCCCAACTTGCTCAAAGGTGAAGCAAATTTGCAAATTTCACCAAGAGTAATTGTTGCTTAGTTTCAACTTCTGTAAAATAGGGATAATTTCCAGGATTGGTGTGAGGATTAAATGGGATAATACAAATAAAACACAAAATCTCTAGTATGTTCATTCCCTATTTCCTTCATTCCCCACCCCTGGTAGCCTCTATTCTATTGACTATATGTATTTGACTGTTCTAGATACTATATAAATGGAATTCATACCATTTAGGCTTTTGTGTCTGGCTCGTTTCACTTAGCATAATATTTTAATAGTTCATCTATGTTGTGGCATGTATTAAAATTTTATTTCAGTTTATGGCTGAATAATACTCCATTGTATGTATAATGTAGTAATTTAAGAAGCTGATTGACATTGCTCTTTTCGGTGGTAAAATATGCCAAGTTACAGATTTTAGTGTTAACCTCAAGAAAAACCTTTAAACATGGCTGGGCGCCGTGGCTTATGCTGTAATCCCAGCACTTTGGGAGGCTGAAAAAGCGGGCAGATCACCTGAGGTCAGGAGTTCGAGACCAGCCTGGCCAACATGGTGAAACCCACATGTCTACTAAAAATACAAAAATTAGCCAGGTGTGGTGGCACGTGCCTGTAATCCCAGTTACTTGGGAGGCTGAGGCAGGAGAATTGCTTGAACCCAGGAGGTAGAGGTTGCAGCCAGCTGCGATCGCACCACTGTACTGCAGCCTGGGCAGTAGAGTGAGACTTCATCTCAAAAAATAAAAAAGAAAGAAAAACCTTTAAACAAAGAGTAAATAAAATCAATCTAGGCAGTGTTCAGGTGGAACATTTAAATTGTTAGTAATTAAATGTAGATTCCATATGAGTCTTAAAAACAAAACTATCAAAGTAACTATTTGTGATGAGATTGGTGTGCGTTACCCAGGCTGGAGTGCAGTGGGCAGTGGTGCAATATGGACTTTGCACCACCACACCCAGCTAATTTTTGTATTTTTAGTAGAGATGGGTTTTCACCATGTTGCTCAGGCTGGTCTTGAACTCCTGGGCTCAAGCAATCCATCCACCTCAACTTCCCAAAGTGCTAAGATTACAGGCATGAGCCACCATACCTGGCCAGGTGTGTGTCCTTTTTTTATAGATGTTTCCTCCTGACTAGAAAGCTTCCCTTCTGCTTTTTTTTTTTTTTTTTTTTTTTTTTTTTTGAGATGGAATTCGGCTCTGTAGCCCAGGCAGGAGTGCAGTGGTGCAATGTCAGCTCACTGCAACCTCTGCCTTCCGGGTCCCGATTCAAGCAATTCTCATACCTCAGCCTCCCAAGCAGCTGGGATCACAGGCATGAGCCACCATGCCCAGCTAATTTTTCTATTTTTTAGTAGAGACACAGTTTCACCATGTTGGCCAGTCTGGTCTTGAACTCCTGACCTTGTGATCCACTCGCCTCGGCCTCCCAAAGTGCTGGGACTATTGGCGTGAGTTACCGCGCCTGGCCCCTTTCTGATTTTCCTAGATAGCTTTCAGGGTATATGTTCTTAATATTTGCAACTTCTTGATTTGTATTGTGTTTCTTCTAGCTGTGCCTTTGGCAGATTTTCTTCTAACCGTTTCATGTCTGTTTGCAGATAGGAGAAAGAATTCGAGTCATCTTGGACATGGAAGATAAGACTTTAGCTTTTGAACGTGGATATGAGTTCCTGGGGGTTGCATTTAGAGGACTTCCAAAGGTCTGCTTATATCCAGCAGTTTCTGCTGTATATGGCAACACAGAAGTGACTTTGGTTTACCTTGGAAAACCTTTGGATGGATGACGGTGGCTTTCTTGTGATGAAATAAATATAGAATGGAGGAGAGATCTGCTTATGGGAAGTAGAACCATGAAGTGACCGTGTCATATGTGCATGTCCAAGAAACATCCTGAAAAACACATGAAGTTGAAAACTGGAGAAGCAACTCTACACCAGAGATTATCTTCGTGTTTCCTCTTTCTACTGGGCCAGAAAAATCCTCAGGGTTGCAGTTGGTTGAGTGGGCAGTTGACATATGCATGTTGCAACAGATGTTGTCTCTAAGTTAGCAATGTGTTATTTCCAACTTTAATGGTGAGACTGTAGAGATGCTGTCAAAGGGATAAGATAAGGAAATAGCAAGATTTTTAAGTAGTGTGTTTGTGAAGACTGATCCCATTTTACAACTGCCTGTTCTTTCTCCAGTCCCTTTTTTTCCGGCCAGCTTGACTATTAGAAAATTATGAAACTGGTTGAGTTTTATTTAATATTTTTAATATATTGAGAAGCATGGTCTGCCTGGACTGCACTTCTCTAAAAGTGAGATATAAAATTGTGCAGCTATTTTAAAAGTTGTATATACAATATGTGTGTTTAAAAAAAAAACTGTAAAAAAAAAAAAAGGACAAACAGTTTGCTTTGTTCTAGTTCTAATTTCTTAAAAACCACTACATGGTTACAAAATTGGAATAACATTTGGAGACAGTTGGATTAACTACAAAGAAGAGGATTTTAAGAGAAGATGTGTTTTATTGACGCATTTTGTATTATTTTTGGCTTATAGTTCCCATGGCTGTTAGAGTCTGGTTTGTTTTTGTTTTTACTATCAAAATTATAGTAAAGATCTCTCAATCTCCTGGCTAAAGATTGAGGGAAGACAAATCTGTTTCTAATTATACATATATCAGAATGTAAGGATGTTCTCAACATCATAATAATGTGCATCTTTTGGTATCCAGTTTTTGGCCTTCTAAGAAAGTGTCTCCTAACCAGAACATTGCCATTTGCTCTTATAGGCCTCAAATATTAAAACTATTAGTCATAGAGCTTAGGAAAAAAAGAATTGATTAATGGTCTTTTTATTTTGTAACCTTATAATGCTGTAGATATTATCAAAACAACTTTTAATTTCATATTGTTTACATCATGCAACTAATCTAAGCCTCAAACTCGTTACTGGGGCTATAAAGAAAATGTTTACTTACCCACCTGAAACAGGTTAAGAATATTCTTAACCTCATTATAGATAATTGCCCCCATGGGACTTGAAATATAACACCTTGTGCTGAAAACTTCAGGTTGGCAATATTTGAAGGTTTCATTGTAGAAGAGTTTAACATTAACTCCTGTTTTGACTTACAAATCTTATTTCTCATCACTAAAAATGCTTTTGAATTAATAATCCAACACACATGAGCTGAGAGTTTTTCTTTTGTTAGAAAAGAAACTGACATCATCTTTCTGTATGAAAGTATAAATTGTATGGTTTTAGGTACATAAGAATTGACAAAGGAAAGTGAAATCTTTGTGCTTCTGAGTTATTGATGTATTTATATTTTGTTTTAAATCTAATAAGGGACAGCAAGCTGCCGGCTGGGATTCTTGGGCTGCTCCTTGAGAGTTAAGATTGTCAATACTCCTATGAAGCAAGGGATTTCAGCCATAGAACAAAGGTTTGTTGTTGCCACCTGAAAGGTTTACAAGTATTTATTGTGTATTTGATACATTGCTTGAAAAGATGAACTCTATTAAAGATTCTTTTTGATGTCCATGTTAAGAAGAAACCTCCTTGTATAGGGTGAAATTATATGTTAAATGTATTAGAGAATATAGATAATATAGAAATCGATTTTTCTTGGTGTAGAACAACTCAATTCGGCAAAGTTTAAAATTTTATTAAACAAGAGAAGTGATTCAGGATGAAGATTCACTTGTTAGAAAGTGATCAAGTCCTTTAAGTACTTGTGTCTTTTTCAGGTTGTGATAAGGGCATTCCAAGAGGTTTTGTTGAGAATTTTGTTTATAATTGTCTCTTTTGTTAGTAAACATTCATTTGCAACAGTTTTGAAGGTGCTGAGTGGAAAACAGAAACACATGGTTACTGCATATTAGACCTAGAATGAAATAATTGCCTAAATATTTAACAACAAGCCATTCTTAAAGATTTAAGTTCCTGAATATCTCATTTGCAAATTATATGCGATAGGGGTTAATAGCATGAGCATCTGGGTAATGAAGAGCCTTCATTTATAAGCCGATAGGTAAATGTGTCACTAGAAACCAGTAGTAGCTCTACAGAATATTAAAAGAAACTGCTACAATGTTCAAAGAAATGGAATATCTTTTTCATTGGTGCTGAGAAGAGCATTCAAGTAGAAGACAATTGCACCTGAAGATTGAGTATAAATCATCCAAACCAGTGGTTCTCAACATTGGCTGTACTTTGCAGTCACTTTGGAGTGTTCTAAGAAGCACTGATGCTTGGGTTCCATATGCTAAGATTCTGATGTTGGTCTGTAATATCACCCAGTCATAAAGATTTTTAAAAACTTTCTGGGGCATTTCAACATGTTGCCAAGGTTGAGAACCATTGATCTAAAATTCACCTTGAGTTTTCTCATCTGCAAAATAGAAAAAAAAAATCCTTGCTCCCTCCCTTCACTACCTCACAAGGATATTGAGGGTAAAGGAGAAAATAATGGGAAAGTGCTTATGCTGTGGATAAAAAGTGCTATTAAAAGCAAAGTGTAGTGTTCTATTTCAATTCATAGTGTGATCAGGAAAAGTGTAACTGACTATACTTTGTTGACTTGGGAAACCCGGAGCACTTCCTTTGGTTCTTTAACGAAGCATACAGATGTGGAAGCAGACGTTACTATTCTTATTCCTACTATGGTCTTCTGTCACACTTGGGATAGGCTGTTTTAATTACCTGGTTTTACATAGGAAAGAAGAATATTAAGGCTTAAAGTATGTAATGGTCAATGACTCATAATTCATTAAATCTTTTCATACAAGGAATTTGTGGTTAATGTCATTTCATAGTTGCCATTATTTTTTCATTTGACTTGAATGTTAAACCATTTATTTCATCTCCCTCATTCACATTAAGTGTAGATACGGATTCGATAAGACACCTAAAGCCAGTAGGATTTACACAGTTGAATATTTGAAACCATTGTTCAACGACTAGGCATTTTCTGCCTTTTAGAATGATTTGAGTAGAGAAAGAGTTTCAAAAATAACAGAACCCTAAACTATAAAGAAGCTATTATATAATGAACTTTTGTTTTTGGAGACAGGGTTTCACTATATTGCCTAGGCTGGTCTTGAACTCCCGGGCTCAAGCAATCTTCCTGCCTCAGGCTCCCAGGCAGCTGGGATTACCTGGTATACATTACAGGGTATGCCACCATACCCAGCTTTAACTTTAAGTCACCAAACTATATAGACTGTCATATTAGTTTTTCTTGTTCTTTTGAAGAAGCAAGTAGTTTGAAGAGATAAACTTAGGGAGAGAGAGAGAGAGTGTGTGTGTGTGTGTGTGCGTGTGTTTTGAAGACAGTTGCTCAGGCTCTAGTGCACAATCTTGGTTCACTGCAACCTTTGCCTGCCAGGTTCAAGTGATTCTCATGCCTCAGTCTCCCGAGTAGTTGAGATTACAGGCATGTGCCACCACACCCGGCTAATTTTTGTATTTTTAGTTGGGTGATGGGTGTTGCCATGTTGGCCAGGCTGGTATCGAACTCCTGGCCTCAAGCAATCTGCCTGCCTCACCTCCTGAAGTGCTGGGATTACAGGTGTGAACTACCGTGCCCTCAGAAACTTGAGTTTTAAAGGTTAGTGTTGAAAAGATTACTTTCCAGAAATTAAGACCACCATAGTTCTACAATTGGGACTGTGGTAGATAATCAGGACCACATAAAAGCCTTTATTAGGAACAGTCCATACCCAGCCCAAATGTCCTCATAAAAACATTCCGCCGGGCGCGGTGGCTCAAGCCTGTAATCCCAGCACTTTGGGAGGCCGAGGTGGGTGGATCACGAGGTCGAGAGATCGAGACCATCCTGGTCAACATGGTGAAACCCCATCTCTACTAAAAATACAAAAGAATTAGCTGGGCATGGTGGCGTGTGCCTGTAATCCCAGCTACTCAGGAGGCTGAGGAAGGAGAATTGCCTGAACCCAGGAGGCGGAGGTTGCGGTGAGCCGAGATTGCGCCATTGCACTCCAGCCTGGGTAACGAGAGCGAAACTCCGTCTCAAAAAAAAAAAAAAAAACATTCCTCAGTTTCTCTAGCTGAATGTAATCTCTCCTTGAAACTTCCCTAGTTTTATTTATCTATAGTTGTGGCTAGTACTGTATTTATTACTTTATACCTTGTTTAAAATTATTATTTATTGGTGTCATATCTCCCCTAAACTGGGACAAGATCTCTTATGGACTCATCTTTGTGCTAATGACATGTAAGCCCAATAGGCAGCTGCTCACATATTTGCTGAAGTAACAGAACCATGTAGAAAGACAAAAGTTCCTCTGAAGTTACGGACTATAGACGCAAAAATTATAATAGCAAATATGGATGAGAAATTCTATGTTCTAGTCCAAGAGAAGCAGGAAGGAAAGGGATGCAGATCTGAGGCTAGGAAGGAGAAATGATTACTGTGAATGCATTTAGCCATTCCCCTCTCTTTGAAAATACTGGTAAACTCTGATTTTTATATTTGTTTGGAATTTAAATTAGAATTCTGTATCTTTATTTTTTGGAATTCTGTTTTGCCTTAGTTTCTTAATAAAAAGTTAAAACGAACATTAACCACCTGTGATTGCTTACATTTAAAGAAAATTTTTACACATTGGTCAGAAAGAAAAATTGGGGTGCCTTAGTAGCCAAAGGTGGTGATGGAATTTACCTATTCCATGGCTTTAATAATAGAATCCACATTCTCCATGTTTAGAATGGCAAGTGGACAGGGAACAGTAATTCACTAGGGTTTTATTCCCCAATTGCCTCTACTGCCTTCCCACCCCTCTGCTGACGTGTTCGATAATGCAGTTGTTTGCCAAGAATTATAAGAGACAGACATGCTATTCCTGAACTGGAGAATAAATGGCTCCTATGATCCAAAAGCTTAAAAGAGAATCAGTCAGTTGATTATGTTGCTAAAAGTTGCCTAATATGTTAAACGTTCACACAAAGCATTTTAATTTTCTTTTTTCTGAGACAGAGTCTTGCTTTATCACCCAGGCTGGAGTGCAGTGACCCAATCTCGGCTCACTGCAAGCTCCGCCTTCTGGATTCAAGTGATTCTCGTGCCTGAGCCTCCCAAGTAGTTTCTACTACAGGCCCCTGCATCCATGCTCTGCTAATTTTTGTATTTTTAATAGAGATGGGATTTCACTCTGCCGGCCAGGCTGCAACTTCTGACCTCAGGTGATCGCCTGCCTCAGCCTCCCAGAGTGCTGGGATTACAGGCGTGAGCCACCGTGCCCAGCTCTTGGTGGGTTTTTTTTCCCTTTTCTTTCTTTCTTTTTTTTTTTTTTAGAGAGAGTTTCACATTTCACTCTTGTTCCCTAGTTTGGAGTGCAATGGCAAGATCTTGGCTCACTGCAACCTCTGCTTCCCAGGTTCAAGTGATTCTCCTGTCTCAGCCTCCCGAGTAGCTGGGATTACAGGCGCCTGCCACCATGCCCGGCTAATTTTTTGTATTTTTAGTAGAGATGGGGTTTCACTATGTTAGTCAGGCTAGTCTTGAACTCCTGACCTCAGGCGATCCACTTGCCTCAGCCTCCCAAAGTGCTAGGATTACAGGTGTGAGCCATTGCACCCAGCCAATTTCTATTGGCTGGAAAACATTTAAAAAAAAGATTAGAGAAGTCAGGTCCTGTCTATTCTATGGTATGATGCTTGTATACCATATTATATTTCTCCTCCCTTTCCTCTGTAAATAAAATGAGGAAAAAATAAAGTAATGGTTTTGAGGTTATAGCTCTCCTGAGAGTCTCCCTGAAATAATTTATGAAAATTCTAGTGTCTCAAGTTAGATTAATTAGAGGCATATTGTAGTGGGAATGGGCCAGATATCTTTGTTTATTTTAATGTAGCTAACTTGTTCACTATTCCTAACTGATGTTTAAAGGGCATATTATCGATCAGGACCCCTTTGTTGGTCATCTTCACCTTTGAAGGAAAGGAGGCTTAAGGTTGGAATGAGGGTTGTCAGTGACATCTCTAATCCTTCAATAGGCCAAAAAGTGATATAGTTCATTATTAAATTGCCCAGAACAGAGGGCTACTCAATAAAAGACGTTTGTTTTGTTTTGTTTTGTTTTGTTTTGTTTTGTTTTGTTTTTTTAATGGAGTCTCGCTCTGTCGCCCTGGCTGGAACACAGTGGTGTGATCTCAGCTTACTGCAACCTCCGCCTCCTGGGTTCAAGCAATTCTCCTGCATCAGCCTCCTGAGTAGCTGGGATTACAGGCGCCTGCCACCACTCCCAGCTAATTTTTGTACTTTTAGTAGAGACAGAGTTTCACCATGTTAGTCAGACTGGTCTTGAACTCCTGACCTCGTGATCCACCTGCCTTGGCCTCCCAAAGTGCTGGGATTACAGGCATGAGCCATCACACCTGGCCCTAAAAGACATGTTGGTAGCAAAGACGCTGCTCTGAGCAGAGACTGGTAGCAAAGCCAGTGTAATCCACCCTTCTAAGCACAGCCTACAAGAACTTCAGTGCCTATGGATTGTGGAGCTGATTGAGAGTGACTCCGCAGGCCACTCTGGGTTTTATGTGGCTATAGTTGAGCTTCTGAAATTGTGAAGGATCTGCCTGTCCACTCAGCTACTAGTCATCCACTCGGTAATTTAGAAAGAATGAAAAAAGCATAAAAGATAATTCATCAAATATTTTCTAGTATCCATTATATATCAGGCTTTTACCAGGGACTAGGGATGTAAAGATGAGAAGAAAGAAACAAAGTTGCTGACAAGCTACTGTGAAAGCAAAAGTGGAAATGGACTACCATGAAACTGGGATAATTGCTTTAACGGAATTACAGATGAGGTCCAGTGTGGCATAGGAGAGGGAATATTTAACTTAACCTGGGGTGATGTTTCAGCCGAGCTTAGAACATAGTAGGTAGGAGCTACTAAAGATAAATCCACTGTTTCAGGCAAGTGGGATAGGATGTGCTGTGATATAGAGGCACAAATAGGTCTGGTATGTCTGGAACCATGCTGGACAAGTGATGGGAGAGGGTATGGGACAAGGAAATTGGGTCTGGATTATAACTACCATACTAAAGAGTTTGAGTTGTGTCTATTTTTTTATGGGGAAGCTATTCAAAGGTTTTAAGCAGGAGCATGACTACTCTAACTACAAAAAGCAGTATCTGAAAGGTGGGAGTCAGGAGATCCAGGCAGAAATTGATGAGGACCTAAACCAGGCGTCCCCAAACTACGGCCCACGGGCCACATGCGGCCCCCTGAGGCCATTTATCCAGCCCCCCCCCCCCCCCCGCCCGCCGCACTTCAGGAAGGGATACCTCTTTCATTGGTGGTCAGTGATAGTAGCACAGTATGTGGCAGCCCTCCAATGGCCCCCTGTGTAAAAAGTTTGGGGACGCCTGACCTAAACTAAGGTGAGTAAAGATGGAGGAGGAATGTATTTAAGAGATATTCAGGAAGATATGTGGACACTATTTGTATGTCAAGAGTGAGACACTTTTTGGTGCAGACATTTGAGAGAATAGTGGTACTCTTTATTAAGAAAGGGTATTGAGCCGGGCGCGGTGGCTCAAGCCTGTAATCCCAGCACTTTGGGAGGCCGAGGCGGGTGGATCACGAGGTCAAAAGATCGAGACCATCCTGATCAACATGGTGAAACCCCGTCTCTACTAAAAATACAAAAAATTAGCTGGGCATGGTGGCGCATGCCTGTAATCCCAGCTACTCAGGAGGCTGAGGCAGGAGAATTGCCCGAACCCAGGAGGCAGAGGTTGCGGTGAGCCGAGATCGCGCCA